AAGACATAGCCAAAAATAAGGACTCCCACTTATAACTCCCCTGCATCGTTTATTCTGACAGATAACCTGGAGGTAGAAGGGCTGTTCTCACTGCTATCATTTACATTCAATTGCATTGACGTCCCTGACAACGTACTGCTTGGAGACAGCTCATAATCGGCTAAACAGTTGTTGCTAACAGAAGAAAATATTAAATAGCATCCACTGAGGCAAATATTGTCTCTGTATCTGCAAGGATACAGGGTTCCAGAGGCCAGGAAACAGCTGTGGCTTTGTTGCACAACAAGCACAAGGGATGCTCTTGTGAACACTTTGGGCATCACAGAGAAAGCCTCTTGGGGACTCACAAGTGGAACAACAAGGCCAGGAAAGGAGCAGGTCAGAGGAAGACCATGGAAAGGAATTCACTGTTAAATCCTCTTCAAAGATAGGGAATAAAACATACATGCGAGAGCTGCAGTCCTCAGACTGTATGGTGACCTGAGGTACCTCTCTGAGTGTGTACCTCCCTTACCATGGAATCAAGCGCAAGATTTCTATCACAGTGTCAGTTGGGTTAGCAGTACTGCCTGGCACAAGGAAAAGCCATAAGCATCCTCAACCCTTCTTGTCGGCTCCAAGAAGGGCTGGGGTAAGAACTGAAGAGGGTCGATTCATAAAAAAAGAAGTCCTAGGGTTCTGGACTATGCTGATTCGCAGAGGTGTTTGGCACAGCCAGAGCAAGGCAGTTGGGAAGCTCACACTTACTTGGATATTTCTCTAACATCCTCCCCCCACTGCAGAAATACATGAACTGTAGCATCTCAAAGGCAGCACCGTTACTTGCATGAGTAGAGTGAGCTTCACTGATCAGGGTCTGCCACGCAGGCTGCTCGTGAAATCCCCCAATTCACGTTCTCTAGGCTGCATTTTCACCAAGTCAGTTCCGTTCAGTGTGGTATATCCACATGTCAGCCCTTACACGCTCAAATGTCAGTCCCATTTTGGATTATTGCTTTAAGCTAGTCATAGCTGCTTTAAAGCGATGAGACAAAAACATTTGAACTCCTTCCAAAATGTAAGAACGGATTTTGCTCAGTCACCAAAACCAATACCTTCCTCCACTTACACAATACATCATCAGGGAATAATCATGTTCAGAAAATGTCTTTACAAATAACACTGATTCTTTGACAGCAGCGATAGCAAGTCTGTAGGATATCCAACTCCAACAAAATTACCATATCTACGGAATCTTGTTGCTGCATATACTGCTTTACTTAATGGAAGCTGCCCATCAGCTCAAACCTCTACACGCCTGAGGGCAAGAAGCACATCACAGACATGTAGCTGGTCAGGACTAGCTGACTTCGGAGAGGATGCTTCCTTGCAAAGAGGATAGATAGATCAAGTTATTGAAACGCTTCCTCCCTATCACTCCCCCATCCTGCCACACATTCACACCCAAACTGCCCCAGTCTCCCTGCTTGGCAAGGAGCTGAGCCCCCCACCTCTTTCCAGAGGCCAGTACACCCACTGTGCCTTCCCTCTCCCCTCAGTCACAAGGAAGCCTCTTCTGGGACACACTGGCAGAAGCACAGAGACCGGCAGCCAGACATGCTCCCGCTGCACTGCCCGTACAGAGGACATACATGGGGCAACCAAGAGAAAACCTCTGCTCATG